TCTTCTCTTCTCTCTCCATCTTTCTCTTTGTTCTTCTTCATCCCGCTGGCTGCATTTTCTTCTTCTTTTGTTCTTCTCTCCATCTTCTTCCTCGGCTTCTTCTTCCTCCCCATACCCCCCAACCACGAAGTGGTCCTCAAGCCCTCAATCCCAGTTCAATCCTCTTCCATCGATGTTCGCCGAACCAAACCAAACCGCACCGACTCCTCGGCGTGCCGATTGTAGTCGGTCTTGCATCTCCTCGGCGCGGCGGCGGTCTCCAAAATGGGCATGCCGATGACCTCCGGTCGGCATACGGTTTGGGCTCATACCCGACCCAACCCGACCCGTGCTCACCCCTAGTATATTCTATTGATTGGAGGTAGAAAGTGAAAGTATCCCAACAAAACCTTTTCACAGCAAAAAGAATATGGAACCCGATGCAATTGCATCTTAATAATCATGTCCAACTAGATATTTGGGCCCAAACAAAGAAAATCCAATTTCTCTCTCAATTAAAAGTGGACGTTCTGGAAATTATTTATATGTCCCATTGCTAAACTCACCATCTAATTAGCTAATTAGATGATACGTTAATGGAGGAATTTCATTTTTGTCTAGACCAATATTAGGATAGAAGAAGGTAAGGGTTATAAATTAGCACTGAAATACTACAACAGAATTTTTTTTGGGTGATATTATTTGTGCTGCACTTTAAGCTATCCTTCATGAATTTACTTTTGTTTAAGAGACCCTTAATTTTTCCCTTTTTGGAAGTTCCCTAGTTAAATATTTGCTGCTGCTAATCTATTTAAATCTGTAATTTGTAATCTGTATGTGATTTAAATTTGTTTAAATCTGTTTTGACTCTGTTTCTTGCATCTTTGAATAGGAAATTATCTTTAAGGCTTTTGGAAGAATGGATGCAGCAGATTTTTTGTAAGGATATTATCTTTATGTGTATTTTTGTGATGGGTTGTAATCTTTAATTTCATAAGTTTAATTTGGTTTGTGTATTATTTTTTGTAATGGTTTGTAAGAGATTATATTTCCTTT